ATGGCCCAGCCAATCACCTGACTTGAATCCAATAGAAAATCTATGGAAAGAACTAAAGATTAGAGTTCGTGGAAGAGGCCCACGGAACCTTCAAGATTTGAAGACTGTTTGTGTGGATTGTGGAAGAATGGGCCACTGGGTCATTCCATTTTATTACACAGAACTTAATTTCTGAACTTATTTGTTTTGTTTTCTTTGTATGTATGGAGTACTTGGGTTGTTACCGACATCTGGTGAAAATTTCATGTCAACAGCACCTTTAGAAATATATTTACTGAGAAAAATGGTGACGGGTGTTCAATACTTATTTTACCCGCTGTATATATACAGTTTAAAATATCTTATTATTACTAAAATGATGGTCATTAATGGCAACACTATGTCAATCCACTCATCCGCATAACTGAAGCTGGCGCTACTTTAATATCTGTCGCATCACGCCATGGACTCTAAAATTATATATAAAAATCGCTAATGCTATATTAATCCGCTCATCCTCATAACTGAAGTGCACTCCAAAATAAAATAAAATGAAATATTTTAGATTTACTGAAATTATGGTCATTATCATCAGATGTGTATAACAAATATTTAGGCCTATATTGTGTCTGTCTCCTGCTTTTCACTAATGACTGACTGACTGTAAATGACCATGACAAAAGACACATGTTAAGTAATAAGGATCACTGGTGCAATCAATACATTTAATATATGTGACATTTCAGTAAACCATACTGCACTTTTGAAATTATAGCCTATATGTGCAGCTACGTGTCTTTGTTAGGCAATTTGGACATTATGAAGTGAGCAATAACCTTCACAACCTTATGAGGGAAGGTTTCAATCTTTTATTTAGATGAAACTAGTAAATGATCAGGACACAGAAAAAGTCTGACTACATTACAGTGAAATTAACGATGTTATTAAGATTTTAGAATGAATTGACAGATGTTGGACCTGACTTGATTACTTCTGATCCATTGCCTGCTGAATGAACAAACACAGTGTACTGCATAATAAACACGAGGTGTTGTATTTCACAAAATAAACGTTTAAACTGGTGATTAACAACGACCATGATTTTGTTTGTTTGCTTGTTTAGTGAGATCAATGTGGATCTTTTTGTGGATCTGTCGTTTCACAACTGTTTTGACTCACTGTGGTGAGAAGACATTATTCTGTCAGTCTGATGCTATATAAGCCACACAGTTCACTAGATGACAGTGGCCATCTGATGGATTTATTCTTCGGCTGTCTGCTGAAAACCACAGTTTTGATCTCTGAAGACGGTAAATGCGTGAGATAGTGTGTCTGTGTCCATCTGTAATGCTGTCAGATGTTTATAAAACCATGGACATTTATTTACAGCAACAAAGTGTTGTTCAAAGTTCATTTGATGTAATCAATGCACTTCATTATTATTTAAACATGCATTAAAATGTAATCCTTTTTTGTTTGTGGCATTGGTGTCACCAATTTTAACATCCAAACAAATTCTGTGTTAACGCATTTAAATATCAAAACAGTAAACAAGCTGAGATATCTGTTGAAACTGAGCAGCCTTTGATGCTTAAAAAAAAATTTTTTTTTTTTAAAAATATATATATATATTTACCAATAAAACTGGCAGTCATTGAGAGGACGGGAAAGTTTGTCATAGATAAACACTGACATCTAGTGGATACCAGAAGTACTTCACCAGTTTCAGTACTGCAGGTTTGTTTTGAGCAAATGGTGGTGGGGGAAAAAAACTAAACTCTTAATTCATTGTCGTTGACTTGAGCTACACTACCATTTAAAAGTTTTGGGTCGATAACATTTTTTAATGTTTTTGAAAAAAGTATCTTATTGCTCACCAAGAATGCATTTATTTGGTCAAAAATACCAGTAATAATGGTAATATTACAACAATATTAATATTACAATTTATTACAATTGTGTTAATATATTTTAATATATTCTGAGTTGGTACACAAGAAAAAAATGTCTTATTATAATTGATGTTAAAAACCAGTTGTGCTGCTAAAAATGTTTGTGGAATAATTTTTCTTCATGAATGGATTTATAGAAAGCTCAAAAAACAGCATTTATTTAAAATAATCTTTGTTATAATATTGATAAATGTCTTTATTGTCACTTTTTTTTTAGTAATTTAATGCATACTTGCTGAATAAAACTATTGATTTCTTTAAAATAAATAAATAAAAATCTTACTGACCCCAAACTTTTGACCAGGTAGTATATGATTTTGATGTTGATGTTTGATGTATGATATGATGTTGTTATTTTTTATTAAAAACTGATATTATATCAATAATCATGTAGGGAGAAAATAAGCATCAAAACGACAGTAAACAAATTCATATTAATTCATTTACATAGTTTAATTAAAAATCATTGTCTCTTTGTCATTAATGTAATCCAGTACTACAAAAGCAGGTCTGAGAAAATCAAACCCAAGTCATTTTGTCCATCTTTTAAAACAAGCAAGTACAAATTCCATAATATTACACCCATTCATGGACAAACATTAAAAAAGAAACAGAGAAAGCAAAGTAACTCAGCTTACAACTGAGTAACATTTTGTACCATATGAATTAAACTGATATCTGTGCAAAAGGAGATATCAAACACATGTATACATATTATTCGTACTACATGAGCATTTAAATATATATTTATATAGTCTATACAAGATGTGTGTGTAGATACACACATACACACAAATACAAACAAACACATACATGGACATGCGGTGCATGCATGTGCAAATATAGCTTTCTTTTTTTAATTAAATAAAATATATGCTTCCCAGAAGCACTTAAGAGCTTAGGTGTCCTATACATTGTATAAGATCATATGAAAGAATACAATAATTAATTATAATACAAATAACAATAGTTACAATAAGATAATATTAAAAAATGGACAAGCTAAAGGTACATTGGTAAGTTATCGACATTCCCATTTGGGTTTATTACCCAGACCAGGCAACTCTACCCATTGTGCAAAAGGGCAGAAATTGATCAGGGTTCATAGAGTCACAGAACTGAGATTTCAGTTTCCAGAATGATAACAGGGCTCAAATTTTTGTTTCTGGACCCTCTGTGTGGATTGGCTGGAAGGAATTGCGAATATGAGCAGCTTCAGCGGTGCAAAGGTATCCGAATGCTTTGTTATACCATTCTGGAGTTCTCCCCCTGAAAAAAAAAAGTGCAGAATATTACCACACTGACATGTATTCATTTCTATGAACAAAGCAGCTACAGTCAGAGAATTCTATTTGTGTGTGTGTGTGTGTGTGTGTGTGTGAGTCAGTCAGTTATATTTACTAACTTCAGGTCCACTCTGCAGATGTGGGTGAGTCTGGACTTGCCAGAGCCACAGGGCTCCAGTAAGTAATTGGATTCCATCACTATAGCTCTGATGCCCCCTATAGGCGGACAGTCCTCATGTTCAATAGACACGGACACCAGAGAACATGTCCCCCGCGGCAGATCCGTCCTCCACGACCTGAGCACAAACACCAGCGTAAGTTTATAAAACATTGCTGCAGTAAACAGTAAGCTAAAGCGGTAAACTGTGATCTAAACTGTAAATGCATCCACCCATCCTACTACCATTTTTTTTACCACTCTATAACTCTAACACTATATAACTTTCCAGTAATTCATATTTACTTTGTAAAGATATTTAAAAATGGTTTTATAGGAACTGTTAGGAATATTTTGTGTGAGGTACAAATCCATAGAAACATAAATTCATAAGAGAATATATATTCATGTTTTATTCATATTCCTATTTTTAATAAATATTCAGAAAAAAATGTAATATAGTTGTTGTTGTTGTTGTTTTTTTCCCGAATTTTCCATAAACTTTTCCATAAAATTTAACCATCGTTCCATATATTGGTTGACTTTCCAGTAATTTATAAAAATAATTTTATAGACACTGTTAGGAATTTTTTGTTTGAGGTAAAAATCTATATTATATATGAAATCTATAATCATTAATATATCAAATATTGCTAGTTTTCATTACATATATATTAAATATAATTTTAAAATATAATAACATTTAACATATATACCATTAGAAAACATGGAAATTTTTGTGAGATATATGAAATGATTCAACATAATGTTACTAGTATTCACTACAAATACATATCATATAATTAAATTTTAAAATGTAATATTATATATATAGTTTTTTTTGGGAACCCTGTTATCTTATTCATTTAACCACTGCTCCATAAATCTGTCTATCGTTAAAAAAACCCAAAAAAAACAGGAAGTCCCTGAGTGAACGGACCCACCTGAGCACTACAAAGTCTCTGCTGGGATGAGGAGGCATACAGTTGAGGACATACTGAAACACTTCTGTCTGCCTATCCAGAACCTCACACACTTTCCAATTCATCAGATCCACGTCCCACAGGTGGCGTTCCCGAAGAACACGGTTTAGAACCACCGACGGAGGGGCTTCCACCTCCACCGAGACCCGCCAACTCCGCAAAGGGTTCCCATCACCCACCTTGAGTTAAACCAGAGAACTTTACTTAGTATTCATTATTAGTATTATTAAGATTTTCTGTAATGTTTATGTCCTGTTGTGCATAAGTCTGAATTTTC